AATCTCTCTCTCTCCCCCTGTCTCTCTGTGTGTGGTTGTTGTTGGGGACATGAATCCAATTTAATGGGATTTTAAATGTTCCTTAACTGCTCCCTTACCGACACTCTCTTCTTTTAGTTTGCTTCTTCCTTTTTATTTGCCTTCAAAAGTAAGGATTGAAATGAATGGCCTCGTATTTTGAGGACTCTTGTTTCTCTTTGCATGGCTTCAATTCCCTCATCTAACTCCTTCCCAATCCCTTTTATTGTCATTCACTTTCACATTCATTTCTTCCCATTTACATGCACTTCCCTCTTCCCCCCTCCTATCTCTCCAAAATAAATGATTCACTTCCGATCCCGATCCCGTACAAACTCCCTCCTCGAGGAGGGTATGATACCATCTCGATGTCTAGCAAAGCACTCAGCTTCGAGGATTAAATATCGATGCTGGTTGGAGATGTCGAGGTTTCAATTTTATGAATATATGGATAAAATATTAAAACTAGAAATTGTTATTTCATAATTAATAGAAAAAGCACGTTGGTTTTATTTTTTRAGTACATCATGTGAGGGAAGGGTTTCGAACTATTAATATTGACCAGGAGAGAAGCAGCTCATGTCCATTAGAATCCTTAACATGCCCCCTCAAAATTGTTGGCTCATCGTCGATCTCGGCCAGATTCCATTTTTGGATCGAATGCTCGTTTGAATTTGTTGGGCTCTGATACCAAATAGACATGGACTACTTCTCTCATTACCAATTGATTTTGAGATGGAACCCCATGAATATTAATATGGGTATCAAAGCTCAAAACGATCAAACGAGCAATCGGTCCAAAAATGGGATCCAGCCAAGATTGATGAGCCAAAAAGAGCCACGATCTTGAGGGGACATGTTAAGGATCYCAYATTGAAAACCAAAAGGACCTTACAATTGTTATAATAGACATGGACTACTCCTCTCATTATCAATTGGTTTTGAGATAGAATCTCATGAATATTAATATGGTATTAGAGTCAAAAAGCTAAAATGAGCAACCGGTCCAAAAATGAAATCCGACCCAGACCTTGAGGGGCATGTCAAGGATCCTATTTTTGGACCTATTCATGGGGATCCATCTCAACCTCTTCTTAGGAGATAAATATCAATTACCGCAGAACTATACTCGCTTTGGCAAAAAGTAAGCTGATATTGATAATTAATTGATAATTTTTTTATGCTTTGTTGATATTTACAAAATATATATCGGAAATATTGTTTGAAGACCCTTAATATATTGATGTTGAATTCTTTAATTTACAAAGATATCATAAGGATATACTTCAAGGAAATATTTGCTTTAGCACGATTTTGAGTTTATTTGGTGCAATAGATTACTTGTTCGAGAGTTTATTAAGACATATTAATCCCTGACAAGATGATCAATATAGTTTAATGGTTAAAACATCTTACTTCTTTTCAAATGTCGAAGTTCAATCTTTCATYCATATATTTGTTATACTAAAAAAAGAAGAAGAAAAAAACTTTAATCCCTAAAAACTTATCGATTGATAATTTCGTACACTAATGACATTATTGTGTTTTCTAGTTTTCTAAACTTGTTTGAGAGTTGATTTTAAAACAAAGAGTTTAAATCCTATAAATGTGTTTTAGTTCCTAAACTTAATTATCATATTAAATAGTACTCGAGAATATTACTCAAAAGTTATGTTGTGTTTATTAAAAGTTTGGAGGATGTAGAATGTTAATAATTTCATAAAAGTTTGATKGTATAGTTTAGTGATAATTTTTATTAGTTTTTATTTTTTAAATATATTTTTTATTCTTTTAATATATTTTTATTGAATTTATTATTTAAATATTTTTTTACTAATTTTTGTTTTTCTAGATATAGTTTTATTGTTTGAGTCTCATTTGWTTGTTTAATATATTTTTATTGTTCTGTGATCGACTTTGAGTGTCAGCTTCTTTTGGTTTTCTAAATATAATGAATAATTTTAACTTTTATGTCTAATTTTTTTTTCTTGACAAAATATGTCTAATTAAATTTATATCATGGCACTTTTTCTTTTTAATAAATTTAAATTCGTACCCTTAAATCATTAACTTTTATCCCTTTATTCAATAAAAAAAATCCACAAAAATTCACTAAATTAATAAAATTAAATTTCTCAAATTATTATTAATCAAATTTCTCAAATTATGTTGGATTAATACACACACTGTACAATTAAATAATTCTACCAAAACTTACAAATTTAAAAGCCCAAAAATCAATTTTATTATCGTTTTTTATTAAATCCTATCAACTATTTTATACCAAAAATATATATTTTCTAACTTATTTGATACATGATAATATTTTTTTAAATAATTTTTCTAATRAAAATCTATCGAAAGGTTTGCAACACRGGTTAAAATTACAATACTTATCAAATTGATACACATCTACGTTCAATCATTTTTTTATTCTAGATCCACCACTCTGCATCTATGGTATAAACAAAGGTACTTACCTTAAAAGCGGGGGAGCTATTAAACACAAAACTAAAAAGTCTCCTCTATCAGAGATTAAACTTTTCATTTAACCTTTATTTAATAACAATCATAGGATTATTAGTATAACTCGTGTTAATCATAACCCCATTCAATCATTTTTGTAATTTTGTGATTAAATTTGCTATTTTTTTAATTGTTTTTTAATACAGCAAATTGTGGGGATAGAGGATTGAGTCTTCGATTTCTAGGAAATGAATAAAATATCTTAACTATTAAACTGTCAAAATATCCTAACCAGTGAGTTAACTCACGTTCACGTTATTTCTTTAACTTTCTACTTCATCGTGGTCATTTCCACAACCAACAATACATGGATATTTAAAATAAAATAGGTCCTATCTACGACAAATTGGAAAAAGGAGAAAAARTTTGCTATCTTGGACCTTGAATTTTGAGCCAAAGAGTATCATTTATGAACAAAGTTTCATTTACTCAGAATGATAGATGAATTTAATTCAAAGAAGCAGTAGGTGCACCATTTTCCTCGGAAAAATTTATTTAAGTATCGCGAGAGTACCTACTTCTTTTATTCACATTATGGTTTTATCTTTATAAATAATTATATAATATTTGTGAGCCTCACATCATTTTTAATATGATGCTGACTTGCCAAACCGAGTATAGCTCAAATGATTTAGGCACCTATYTCTGACCTGAAGGTCATGAGTTCGCACCTCCACCCCACAATATTGTAATCAATAAATACATATATATGATACTGACTTGACAAATAGTGAATGAAAGAAGTATCAATACTTCCGTATCAGATAATTTTCCCAACACAATTTGCAGCTCAATACATTAAATTCCTTAACCACATGACTTTTTTTGGGGATGCAAACCCAAAGCACTTCTCCAACCTCTTAGTCATTAATTCTTGTCCCCGTGGGAGCCAAGTAGGCAATGGCTTTTGATAACGTTCCTGTTCTTGTTCTTATTTATTTTTTCCTCTTTTTAAGTAGATAGAAATATAAATTTGTTTCTTGTTCTTAATTTTTATTTTGTTTTTTAATAAAATATAACATAAATATGTTTGATAATTTTCTTGTTTCCCATTCTCTTAAATATATATATTATTTATATTTATGTTTTGAAAAGGAAAAAAAACTAAAAACAAATAAAAAAATTGATTTTGTTATTTCCAACTACACAAATTAAAAAATAAAATAAAATCTTCAAAATGAAAAATGAGATACAAATCTACCATTACTAAACGCATATATTTCTCAAAAATTAAAAAACAAAAACGTCATGAAATCAATTCTGTGGATTTGAAAATATCTCAAAATATATTTCTTTTTGCTCTAATTTTAATGCACAACCAATACACCATGATTGCCTCAAGATCTTATTTATTAACTTTTTAATGTATTGTATAGTTATCCAAAGATTGAATGAGAAGAATTTGAGATTCAAAGAAAAAAGAGTTTATAAGTTTTTTTACTATAAAAAATACATGTTTAGTTTAGACAGTGAATCTCATAAAATTGTGTTCAGTTGAATTATTCCCAAGAGTTCGAACTCCCACCCCATGTACTAAAAAAAAATCACTAGTCATGAATAAAAAATAAAAACTTTTTAAACACAACTTCATTAAAATAAATAAATAATAATAAAAAGTTTATATATATATATATATATATATATATATTAGTCCCTAAATATTTTTTTTCATCTCATTGTTTAAAAAATTTCAATTTAATCAATTATACTATTTTTGTAAAATTGTCTAAACCTTAGACAATCGTCTAATCCTACGACATTTGATACCGGGAAACACATAAGAATTACTAATTCTTAAGGTAGCTGGTCATCATGAGGTTTGAACACATTCCCTTTCAAAGAATTTGACCACATAATAGATGAACATTTCTAACTTATCCTCCAAAGCTGACTTATAATTCGAGTCTCTATGGACAGTAAAAAGAAGGATAGGAAAGCCTTATCCGAAAACGAGAGAGAAATTTTGACTTTTTTCTAGATAGTCTACTTGTTCCTTTAAATTTCAGTATTATATCATATAACCTTAAACCCAACCAATTTTAACATTCATTGATGAGAAGGGTAAAATGGGAAAAAAAAATATACACACACATATAGATATATAAAAAACTAAATTGAATAAAATATAAGAATTTTTGTACTAAACTCGCTAAAAGGTTCGAACTTGAGACCTCTAAGCTAATATGACAAAGAAACTCCAAGTCCTTGCCAATTGGACTGTCCCTCGGGAGCTAAAATACTTTTGACTTATTACAAAATCACTTTTATCATCGGCTTGTGATTTAGTTTTAGTTTTTGATGCATGTAGCGGAAAACAATTCAACCCTGGAAAGTTTGATGAGACTCTTTTTGCCAGCACACAACCAAGATACTACGTTGAAAATGTTTTTGTCAATGGCCGTTGTGAACAAACAACTTTGAAGTAATAACTAATAACCTCATTACCAAATGATGAATTGAGTATAAACTTACAGTTTGAATCTATTACTTCAAACACACAAAAAAGGGAAATATCCATTGGCATTGATGTTAATGCTGAATTGCACTGTCTTCAGCACCAAAAACAAAAAAGTATGGGAAGTGTACATATGTACATGTTATATCCAAAATCTTCTACTACACCATGTCATTTTTTCAGAGAACTAGAATGAGAATCAATGTACTAACCTTCATAATCTTCCCTCTGAAGACAAAGTGTCTTAATGATCGAATTAGTGGGTCGTCAACAGTCATTAGAACGTAAGATTAGCTCGTTTCAAGCGATGAAGATCAACCAGTTCCTCTCCACAGGCTTTCAAGAATCTGAAATTGTTAAGTGTCAGCATTTTGGAACTACACCAGATACCTAATTGTTCAAAATGGAATATTACATAGAAGAAAATCTAAGGTTTATTCTGTTTCTTTTTTTTATATCCGACCAATCTCCGGACAACCGTTTAACCCTACTACATTTGATTGCCAAAAAAATTCATAGAATATTAAATCTCAAGTATGTGGCCATCATGATTTGAACCYATTCTCTCTAAATTTTTTAGAATTTACCTAGACCCCTTGGGACCATTATGCCAACCCATGATGGTTATCTAAGAGCTGTTTCACATTGTTCTATTACTAACTGTTTCAAAATCGTGTTCGTTTTACTAACAATTTGCACCATGCTTTTAAAAACTTAGTCAAATTTAAAAGACACGTTGTAATGTTTCCATTTCTTATTTCTCGTTTCTAGTTTCTGGTTTTTGAGAAATATAAGTGTTTTGTAACTATTCAGGTTTCTCTTTTTTTTTTTTAAACAAGAAACAACTTTTCATTGAAATATGAAAAGAAAAAATGTTCAAGATACAAACCTCAAAGGGGTGAAAACATAAGAGAGAGAAGAGAAAATAACGAAGAAATAGTGCAATAAGAGCAATAAAAGCTCGAAAAAGATGAAAACATTCTAAAACAGAACTCAGAAAAACTACTTGCTACAAAACTTGGAAAACCAAACTGATTCCAGAGCCAACATCCGCACAAGGAAAAAAACATTCCTTAGCACCAAGAGCGAAGACTAAACTCCAAAAAGAACCAAGTAGACTCCAAAATTAATTTTTTTGTAACTACTCGTGTTTCTCATTTCTCATTTCTCATTTTTAAGCAACATTTCCAAAATTATATAAAAATTTTGGAAACAAAACAACAAAATCAAGTTTCTTGTTTCTTATTCCCGCTTTTTCAATTCCTTCCAAAACATAAACAAAAACATTAATTTACCATTCTCGACTAATAAAATGCATAATAAATATTAAAAATTAAATATAATATTACAAAATTAAATATTTAATATAAAAATTAATTTTCATATATAATAAAAATTAATTTACAGTTTGATTGAATGAGAAATAAGAAATATACCAAACATGTTTATGTTTCTTTTTTCAAAGCAAAAAACAAAAAATAGTTATCAAACACAATAAACAATAACATTACCAAAAAAAGTCCTAAACAAACTAAAAAAAATGTTACCTTTGAATTCCGGCTAAAATTAAATAAAAAGTATGAATTTAAAAAGTGAAAAATTAGACAAGTAGAAAGTGACAGTAAACTTTCAAAAAAAAAAGAAAAAAAAAACTGTTATGAAACAGAAACTACAACAGTAGACAGACAACATCCCCGTTCTCCACATGTCAAAAATTCATCCAATCATGACATAAACAAAATGATGTGTATTTTTGAAGTGGGACATTAAACAGAGGAGACATCTTTTGAACATGGATTGAAGATGTCTCTAGGAGGGCCCTAGGCTGTTTACTTTTCAGTCTTTGTGCTCCTACTTAGACTAGAGAAAAGGCACTGCACTGGTCACTGGAGCTTTCTCTGTCTAAAGCAATTTGGAAGCAGAAAAGCCCTAGAGAAAATTAAAGTGTTCTGGTGGACTTTGGGTTGGAGTAGATTTTTTAACCCATCTTCATGTAGCTTGTTCTTTCTTTTCTTTTTTTTTTCTATTTTCTTGTGGTTACAACAACCCCACCAAATTGGGTCGTCTTTCTGTAAATTCCTCATAACTCCTCTATCGTCGGATTTAATGCTTAATTAAGAAAACCAAGCTTTCATCAAAACAGAAGCATACAAATGAGAAATACAAAAAGGGAAGTCTAATACAAAAGAAGGCTCGAGTACAATATAAAAGAGTAGCTACGAAACGAAGACCTTTAGATACCGACACCTAAAGAGACGAGCGGTACTTGGCCATAATCGTTTCGTATGAAACAAACAAATAATAAGACCCTGGAAAGTTAACACGGAAGGTTGGAGATAGGAGTAAAGGCTCTCTTCAATATAATCAAGCAGTCATGAGTCTGACACTTATTGGGCCACCTATTGGCCTAACTGAAATATTAAATTCACGACTTTATTGAGTACCAGATATGTTAGGCTAATAATTGGACCCCAATCACAAAAATAGAATCCAAGTTGAGAAAGCTGGGAGATTCCAACCAAAGTTATTACAGAATTTAAACCATTCAAAAATATAGGTGTTCTTCAATCCATAACACATCTTTAGAAAAGATTATTTAACTTCTATGTAATATTAATAAGGCAAATTGCAGATTTTTTAAGTCTCGTCTTGGCAGTCAAACTCAAATGACGATTCAACATTGTATGATTATCAAATAACTCTGAAGTATGGAAAAAAAATAAAAATAAAAATAATCAAACCACCAAGATTTAATTTCAGGAAACCAAATTTATTTTAAAATACACGCTATTTTGCCTTAATCGTGAGGGGAAGTATATAATGTTACCCTCTAGTAATGGCCACTTTAATAGATTCAGCCTATTGACCAGGAATGAATTGATAAAGCATTTTCTAGGAGACATGGCATATGAACTAATAAATCTAAGAGGCATATGAAACAATGTAACTAAACCTTACCATGATGGGGTACGGAAGTATCCACCCAAGAACTGGAATCTGGTACAAGAATCCTTTGATGGAGGGCCAGAAACCACTGCATTAGAGAAATCGTGTGTAAGAGAGATGTTGTAATAATATTTAGCTCGTGGATGCAAATTTAGACGAGAAACTAACCCAAAGAGAACGAAACAGCCGAATATCTCGAAGAGTATTCCAATTATGGGCCAGCGAACAAAAATGAAGAAGAGCCCAAGAAGAAAAGATGCAGAACCCTGGAAAAAAAAAACTTTAGACTCCAAAACTAACGTTTCATGAAGAATAACCGGCAGAATCTTAGCCCAGATATCTATAACATATAGAATCATTCTTAATATTTATTCTTTTAAAATAAGAAATGCAGTGTACTCGCAAGAAAGGTTGCACATACTGATACAGTTATTATTAACGGAAGGATGTTGAAAGAGTTAGGAGAGGACTAAGCATCCTCCCCAGTCTTAAAGTCGAGATAGAAAAGAGGAAAAAGAGAGAAGAAAAGAAACTCTCCAGTTGGTAATGATTAAAGATGGGATAACATAAATAAAAATGGTGACATAACAATGAATGAGAAACACTAATCCTCACCAGTCCAATACAATTAAGATATCTCTATTTAGATTTGTGGAAGTTAACCAAGTTGTTTCCATCCATAGCTGCCACAAAATAGTTAAAACAGATTTCACTCGAATTATCTGCATCTATAACCCTACATAAATTGGAAAATCATGCTATTTTTGGAGTTATCGTCCCCTTGAGAAGTATGATTGGAAAATCATATCTCTACTCTTGCTTAAATGAATATCTGTATCCATATAAATGCACATTCACTTACATAAACGTGAATTGATGTAAATAATCCCTTTTATCCACCTTTCACCAAAACCTTTCATTGATGTGCATTCAAATGTTTGCATGACCGATATGAGAAGCACCACGAAGGAAGCCAGTACTAAAAAGATCTAAAGAGGTCTCATACTAAGTTACGTGACTCATTAACTACTGCAAATCTACATGATCTACATTTGCAATTAGCTAATCGTGCCACTATCTTTTCATCCTGCCATTCTGTCCTCCTAGCATCTTCAAAACTAGGTCATATATAACACCAATTTAAAATCTGGCATGAATCTTGATTAGTAATTTCTCATACCTTGTAATTTGCTCGACTGGTAAAAAGATTCCACGTAGAACGCCAACCAAGTAAAAGTGCTACTCCAGTTAACCAAAATATCTGACATGATATATTTTTTATGAAAGAAAACAGGAGGGGAGAGAGAGAGTATGGGAGCACAAGCGTTAGGAAAGTTGGAAACAATAAGATCCTGATAAATACAGAAAGCAGTATCAAACTATGGAAGAGACTTACATTTCCTAAAGCAAGCAATCCCCTGTCAAAGAACAGGATTACACCCAAAAATGTGAAAAAGAAGCCAAAACCAATCAGCCCAAGTCCAACTTCTGCGTTTGAAAAAGATGCAGTTATTGACCGTTTTATATTGCAGATTTGAATCAACAGCACTAGTATTCTCGAGTTTCTTGAAAAATCCACCAACTCAGAGAAGAAACTCCACGAAAGAGAGACTTCTTTTTCTAGTTGACCAATCCAATTTCCAAGAATGTAGAATATGTAAGAATAAAAGAGATGCCTCTGAATATAACCGAACAGCAATGAGTAAAGCACACTAAGGCTGCAAATACATTGTGATCTAATGCTCACTTTTTTGCTCAGTCAATTCGTAGGCCATTTTGTTGACTGGTTGTTATAGCACTCAATTGTCGGACAAACAAGCACTAACTGCCACAATTCAAAAACACAAAAAATGGGGTTAACAAACACAGATATCAACACACAGAGTAAGGAATAAGTAAACCTGGTTTGAACCTATCAACAGATTGCATGCATCAGCTATTGAATTACTAACAACTGTAACATGTACAAATAAATGAGCAAGCTTCTGGAATACAAACAAAAATAAAACAGAACTTCCGCATTGCACTAATTCCCCAAGAATGATGAATGTGTTGGTTTCATTCAATTTTACTTCTTTTCCTCCTCCCCAGTCTATAGCTCGGAATTGAACGATGATTCAGAAGCATAAATGGTAATTTTCAACACAAACACAGCATTGCAAGTAGACTCCAGTTTTACACCGACAACATTGATAAAGTTCATTTTATCAGGCTCATACTCTACATGGCAAATAGGAAGCAGAACAGGAAGTAGCTGAAAATATTCTTGAATTCTATAAGCAGAATCCATGTTCATTAGCATCTAGTATCCAATTAAGATTCTGATGAACACCGCCTCCTTATCTACTTGAGATTAATAGATTGGCAAACGTAAAGCATCCCCTTAAGGTTCTGATAAACACCATTCCTTTCACTGTTAGAGATTGTGTGCGTGTGTTTTTCAAGATTGCATTCTTCTATCCGGGCAATAGGCTGAACCAAATGACTTGGCAAACATCTAGCATCCTATTAAGATATGTGTGTATTACAAGATCGCATTCCTCCATTCTAGTCGTAGACCGAACCAAAATAATGTCAGCCAATTGTTAGCCTGACAAACATGTAGCATCCCATTAAGATTCTGATAAATGTTACTCCCCTCGATGTTTAAGATTGTGTGTGTTGTGTTACAAGGTAATACAAGATCGCATTCTTCTACCCTAGCAATAGACTGAGCCAAACGTATGTCAGCCAACCTAGGAAACCAGGTATCCATAGTCAATGATACTAATTTCATTTGGTAGAAGTTTTAGGATTGGAGAATCTAATGCAGAACCTCCTCCTTTTTTTTAATAAGAAACAAGAGAAAGGTGTATTAATAAAACAGAAACCATCCCAAAAGGAAACAACCTAGCGGCAGATGGTAGAGAAAACCCTCCCTAAAGAACGATGCAATCAAAACTTTCCAATCGTGTAAAATCAAATGAAGACTGTAACTTCAAAAAAAAAAAAGAAAAAAAAATCTTGTGGATTGAAACCCACCAAGAAGCAACATGCTTAATATTTAGACAAAAAGAATCCACTAGAGTCAAAATATACTCAAAGAGGCGACTATTCCTTTCTTTCCAAAGGAGCCAAAGTAAAGCCTGGGCCGCACAATTCCAGAGGACACTAGCTTTCCCTTTGAGCTGAGATCCTCGGAAACCTTCTGAAATAAAATCCTCAATTCTCCTAGGAAGACACAGGAGAGATCCAAAAGAGAAGCAATAAAAGACCAAGCCTTGGTCGCAGAAGTACAATGCAAAACAAGGTGATCCACCATTTCCAAATCCCTTAAGCACATACCACAAATAGAAGGGGAAAGAGCCCAATTAGGAAACTTTCTTTGAAGCTTATCAGCTATATTAGTTCCTCTGTAATAGATAGTCCAAAGGAAATTTTTTTAGGGACTCTGAAGTTCCAAATCTGATTAGTTGTAGACAAATTTAATCTAGGGGAGGGGGACGTGAGGGCCAAAAATGCAGAATTGACCGAAAAAGGCGCAGAACTATCTGCCTTCCACCACAATCTGTCTCTACCAAGTCCTAAGACCACCCCTGCAATCTTTTCCGTGAAAACAGCCCATCTGTTCAACTCCCTCTCAAACAAATTTCTTCTAAAGCCTCAGTAGCCCAGCAATCTGCTATGGAGAACTCATTCTTTAAAAAAAGCACATAGAGGTGTGGAAAAGAGATGGAAAGAGGAACCGTGTCTATCCAAGAATCCTCCCAAAAACGCATTGTAGTACCCGAAGAAACTTTAAAAAAGGAGAGATTTGAGAAACTCACTACGAAGACGTTGAATATCTATCCAAGGCCTCCCAATAGAGGAACCTTTTGCAGACTTTGCCAGCCACCCAAAAGACTCCACGCCATAAATGGCAGCAATAACCCGTCTCCACAAACTGTCTTTCTCCACCACAAAGTGCCAAAGCCATTTCAAAAGAAGAGCTTTGTAATGCGGAACCTCCTTCTGAACTTATGGTCTTAGCCAGGTTACGGTCTGCCAGTTCAACTTAACACTGAAAGTCATCAAAAAATGTGTCGGTAGCAAAGTTACATCTCCAAAGCACATTGTCCAAACTCTCTAGGGCACATTTAAACGGAACACATCACTGTGAACCCAACTGCATGGAGGAAGCTCTCTGGATGAAATTAATAGTGCTAAACTGTTAGTCCTCGCATGCAACTCGCGAGACCTAGCGAACAAATAATCTCACCTTCCACAGCGAAGAAAACAAATAGTGTTCAGAAGAGGGAGAACCACACAAGAGGAAAAAAACCCAAAAGAAAACCCACCGGAAGAATTGAAACTCCAGAGGTGTAAGCTAGTTTGCTAGACATAATCGTGCAATCTTTTAATTTCACCCTTTATATGTGTCGTGAACAACCAAAAAACTAGAGCACCTATCCAAATCCAAGGGAAACTGCATGAAGGATTGTACGAGTTCAACCTATTGAAAGCTCACCCTTGCCATAGAGCTCCTGATCATAAATTAAAGAATCTCTCTTTCCTAAAGCTCATCCACAAGTTGTAATGCCAACCGATTGTAATTCTTCTTCTGTTTCTCAACCTTCTTCAAATAATGTCTCCTTGTTTGAAACTTGGGATAGAAGATTGGAGCAGCATAGCTCCGTTACTGCTCAACAAGTTCTGCTTGAGTGTAATATTCCCTTTTCAATCAATAAAAATCAATTGAACACGTGTCAAGAACTTCCTTTTAAGCCTCTACAACTATTCATGACACTCTTTTACAGTATACTGAATCTGATTTTCAGGGTCCTCCCATTCATAATTCTAGAAATGGTCTCTGATATTACATTAGCTACATAGACGTACACTCTAGATACACCACGCTATACTACATCCAATATAAATCTTTAAAACTTCCAAAGTAAAAAAATAACAAAAAAATGAATCAGTATTGGAGATTGACCAAGGGTGAGATGAAAGAGGAGCATTCTTCTATTCTGAATCAAAAAGTATAAAATGAAAAATTTATAATGACTCAGATACCTCTCCCGTTTATATGCAACCTTGTATTTCAGAATAAACATTACAAATAAGACGATGAAGAAATCGACGAAGAGTGGAAAGGAAGTGATTACATTTAAACTTGAGTGAAAAAAGGGTTCGTGGGTCGGCTCTTTGAATGGTTGGATCCTACTTTTTGAACTTTAGAAGATCAGTTTCGTCCAAATTTTCCAATTGGAGCTCATAGCTTGACATCGAAAGGTGCTGTAACAAGAACCCTAATTTCAATTTTCCACTTTCAAACGGAATTAGAAACGAAGCGACAGACAGAGAATCACGGAGCGAAATAGAGAGACTAAGAGTCACCCAGAAATTAAATCGAACCGGTAAAAGTGTAATCATTTCGGTTTTTTTTCTTTTTACTTTTTAAGATATCTCCGATCATAAATATTACATGTCAATTTTCGTTAAACTATAGTTTAGTTGTCTAAAATTATATTTTTTTAACTTGATAGCTCAATTACGACCTCACCTCGTGGGAGGTAATACCATGAGTTCTTGTAAATATATCCTTACCATTTACTATATAACTCTTTTGATATGTTTTAATATAGTTAGAAATACATTTGTATTCGTATTCAACTTTAAAAAATAAAAATACATTCTGAATTTAAGTTCAATCTAAAAACGTTTTAAACAAATAGATGAAAAATAAAGAAATACATAAATGAAAATAATGTTTACCACTTACAATTTTTTTAATCTAGCACTGAGAAACAGAATAATTTGATTTTTTTAATCTACCACTGAGAAACAGAATAATTATCAAATGGTATCTAAATAAGGAGTTTAATTTGGGTTTTTTAAGCAAATGGTCCAAATCTTTTACCGGCTGACTTAGTTCATACCTATTAAAGTTTTTTCTAACCCAAAATGTTGTTCTTAATCTTAAGGCGAATGTACTTTTCTCCCTGTCGACTATGCAAGCACCATGATTATTCATGATTTATTTAGTTGGTGATTTAAAAATAAAAATATGAAAACAAGGTGTTATAACACATTTTGGTGCATGGTTTGGCATTATGTGGTATGGCCACCTAGACCAAGTGTAGCAATCGAGGATTAAAGGGAGTATGATTAGCTAATCAACCCACTTACCAAGTTGGCATATCTACGAGTGGTTAGTCGTGACCGATATGATTAATGATATATTTCCACTAGGTGCTAATGATTAGATGAACTATGTGTGATGCTAATATCATGTTTATAAACGTGTTCATAGCAAGCTGTCGCTAAAGTAGGTGGTATGACAATAACTCACGCGTGCTCAACTCTGAAAAACAGTAATCGTTCATCGCATGATGTGACTATTATTTTGCATGGTACATTCATTCATACCCGTTCACTTCAACGTATTTCTTTATTTTTTATCTCGTTTCTCTCTTGCCACTTTTTAAAATTTATTTATCTTTTTTCTCACTTTTGCTCATGTTTCATAAATCGTTTCTCCATGCTCTCACTCCAAAATAGTATTTTATGTGATTATTATCGGGTTATGATGAAATTAATAAGTTTTTATGGGGTTGCATAGTTACAAAGTAGCTAATGAAGCGTTTAATAGAATGTCCTACATTTTAAAGCATCTAATTAGAAGAGTTTCAGTAAATTTATATGATTGGATTGTTCAACCTTAATTATACCCAATAATGTAAATCTTATTGGTGCATTTATATCCCATGATATTAATTCCAAATATGATGAGAATTATTAATAAGTTGATCCAAGTACATTTCTTTTTGAATTTGCTATCAACTAAGCATCTCAACTATTGGATACCATTAAATATAAATAGTATTGAATAACTTTGTTGTTGTCCAACTTTTTAAATTAAAAAACAAAAATTTTAAATAAAAATTTATTTGTAATAATTATTTCGACACGTTAAAATGCAATATAAGTCTTAAAATTTAAAAATTAAAATAAAGAAATATAAATTAGAGGGAGGGTATCTTACTTGTATTATAAAAATATAATATATTTCACATAATTCACATAAAAATAATATATCTTAAATTACATAATAATAAGATAGAGTAAATTAATAAATATTATATAAAGTATTTATATATAAAAAAGTATATAATCATCTTAATTTAATTATAAAAATTAATTACAAGTATTATAAAATAGTATAGCATCAAATATACTATATAAAACAATATATTATATAACAACTATATAATTAATCAAATATATAAAAATTATATAAAAATATCATACTATACTATTAATCTTGTATTAATAGCTTAGTATAATAGGTTAGCTTTACAGTGATGTATGCTATACATTGTAAATAAAAAAAATGCAGATATAGTTGAATGCTGCTGAGGAGAAGACACAGGTTTGATTCCCACCATATGTCTAGGATAAAAATATTGGGTTAATATTTTGTATTTAATAGAATAAATGATTAATATAGTTGACGATGATGGTATAGTAGTCTCATCATTCCCTTATTTTCTTTTATTTTCCTCTCATTTGGAAAGGAAAAAAAATATTAATAAAGGAAAAAAAGTTAATATTAATGGCAATTAATTACTAGTTACCAAGATTAAAACTAAATATTTTAGATAAATTTTATTTATTTGAATAAATAAAGAATGAATGCATATCTACAAATTGAATAGTTCATTTATACAAAATGGTATATCCAAATTATTTATTTATTTGTTTAGATTACACTATTTCTATAGTCAAAGTGGCGAACTTTCTTTGTAAATTCGCGCGTAAAGTGGAGTTGCGAAGAAGAGTTCGTTGGAAAAATGGAGCGGAGAATCGGCGAAGAAATTTGCGGGTTACACGAACCATTGATTCTCCCCATTTCGTGTTCGATCTCGGAGCATCAAATTCGATCACCCATTCCCTCGATCCGATCGCCATGGTGTCCCATTCGAAGTAGAACGGAGGCTATGGGGGCGTCGTCGAAGCTGGACAATATTCGGTGCTCCACCATCGTGTTGGCCATTTCCAACGCCGCCGTCATCATTCTCGGCGCCTATCTCGTCATCGTTGTTTTTCCTGCTTGCGGACGCCGATATGTCCTTCCATTCTTGGCCGTCTCCGTGGCTTCCTGCATCAGAATCGTCGCCATGGTTCAGAGCGGCATTGCTCAGGAGGCTACGGCCAGAACCATTCTCGAATCTCCGGGTGATTCTCCCGCTGTTGTCAACACCGTTCTGCGCCACGAGAGACGGGTATTTGACCAGTTCCACTTTCTTTTTCTCTTTAATTTGAATTTGGCGAAGGAAGTTTTAGGGACGATCTTTGGGTTTTAGAGATGAAGCACGAGCTGAACTTTCGTGTTGCGAGTTGAATAAATTAAGTTAAAGGGTTTGTTGCTTTTCTTCCTCACGTGATTAAAATGAATCCGGAGTCTATTTATCATTTTATCTATCTCAATAGCTACTTTTGGTTTGTTCTAATACGAGTTGAGTGATTCTCTTTGTATTTCCGTTTTCTCTTCAAAATTCCAAGTTTGACTAAGGATAAGTTCGAAAAGGCAATGAGAGATTTCAAAATATTGTGTCAAACTTTGTGAGGAAGTGGGTTGGGAATAGGATTAATTCTTTTTTGTTGTT